ACTGATTTCTTGAGGGAAATGCGCTGTGATGCTGCGTCCCCAGGATGGGCAGAAGCCATGTGCCTGTTGTGATTCATGAATGGCATTTGCAGATGTAGCCAGAGTTAGCATGAAACTGGGCAACCCTGGTGTGACAACACTGATCTCTTTACCAGCATATTAATTTTGAAATATCCCATGAGTCATGGACATTAGGACTATTAAATTGTTCTCTTTTAGAATAACTCAACCAGGCCTTGTGCTGGGAGGTTGATGTATTCTGGGACAAGAGGATTTCTCATTATCTGATGTTTGTGCTTCTTGCCTTGTTTGCGTCTTTTCTTGCTCTGAAAGGTGATGCCTCTGCTCTCCTTCAACTTGGATCTCTGGAACCTGAGTCTCTCTTGTTCTCAAGATCCCTAAATATTATGGTTAGTTCTTACCAACTTTTCACTTCCCCAGCATTGCTTCTTGGCTTTCCAGGCATACTGAGAAGCACCAAACATACCTTCAGCAGTAAGCATGGAGGAATGGAAGGAGCACAGGAGTCTGGGTGTAGGAGGTTCTTAAAAAGGGCAGCTGTGGTTCTGATTAGACAGGATTTCCCTTTGTGCTAGGATCAGGACCATCTAGACAGGCAGAAGGACACTGAACTCAGTCTCAGGGAAAAGCTGATAGGTCATGGTGACAGCAGACAGGACCACATGGGCATGCAGACAGTGGCATAGGCTGGCCTGTATGTGCAGGCAGGTGTGTGTGAGCATGTGCACCAGGGGGGGCCCTATTGGCGTTCCTAGAAGATAAGTTATGGGTGAGTGGAGGGATGGGTGAATGAGGCTGGAGAGTTGGCGGGTACGAGGTCGCTCATCCACTTAATTCACCCAACATCTTGCAAACTAAGTGCCAGGCACTGTAAAAGACACTGAGAGTACAACAGTAAACAATGCAGACACAAACCCTGTCATCATGGAGCTTGAGATCCAGGAGCAGACACAAGCAATAAATGAGATGCATGTTAGGATAAGTCAGCCCCGAGTTTCAGCCCTACCTCTGCCAGCCACTGCCTGTAGACTTGGGCAAGCAGCCTAAGCACGGTGCATAGAGGTGACAGCACACACTCACTGAGCCCCGAGTAGAACAAAAGGCCCAGGACAGCATGTGACAGGGATTCTAAAATGTGGTGATCTTTGGTAGGTCATGGTGTGGGGGTAGCAGCAGGAATTGTTTCATTTGCCACACTTGAGTGTTAGGAGCCAAGAGGAACATTTCCTGGTTTTGTTTTGTTTTTTGAGATGGAGTCACTATGTCGCTCAGACTGGAGGGCAGTGGTGCAGTCTTGGCTCACTGCAACCTCTGCCTCCCAGGTTCAAGCAATTCTCCTGCCTCAGCCTTCCAAGTAGCTGGGATTGCAGGTGCCTGCCACCATGCCTAGCTAATTTTTGTGTTTTTAGTAGAGTTGGGGTTTCACCATGTTGGCCGGGCTGGTCTTGAAATCCTGACCTCAGGTGATCCGCCTGCCCCTTTGGGATCTGTAATCCCAAAGTGCTGGGATTACAGGCATGAACCATGGCACCTGGCCTCCATTTTCTGGTTCTTTGATTTCAGAAGTGTCCCAAGTCTTCTACACTGAGTTATATTTTGGAAAAAAAAATGTCATTTCCTCTTCTCATTTATTGCCCTAAATGTGTATTTTTTTCAAGTGTTGTCTTAAAATTTAATATGCTAGTTCTATTTCTCAAATAAGCTAAGTCATTTTTAACTCCAATTTCTTTTTTAATTTGTGGCAAAATACGCGTAGCCTGAATCTTTCCCATTTTAGCTGTTGTTACGCATTCAGTTCAGTGGCATACGCTGCTGTGAAGCCATCTCCAGAACTTTTCTGTCTTCCCAAACTGAAACTCTACCCATGAATCAACTCCCATTTTCCCTCTGTGGCCCCTGGCAGCCCCCCTTCTACTTTCCGTCTCTAGGAATTTGATGACTCTACGTACCTCACAGAGCAGAGTCATCCAGCATTCGCCCTTGTGTCTGGCGTACTGCTTCCCAGTTCATCCGTGCTGTAGCATATATGTATGTTAAGGCTCAAATCCGAAGTGCCGGGACTATCAGGGCTGTGGGCCTGACCCTCGCAGGAAGGGTCGAAGGCTCCAGCAGATGACAGGGTAGAGGAAGTGAGAAAGTTGTGGCTAAGAGCACCTCTAACGTTACGATATGTACCCATCAGAAGGAGACTTGTCCCCAGGCACTGTGAGAGTCTATGGGAGATTTGTTCCCAGGGTCTAGCAAGCAGAACCCGGAGCCAACCTGGGTGTGTCTTTCAGTAGCAAGGAATTGTGAACTGTCTTCCCGAGAGGGGTCACCCCCCAGGGTTCCTCAGTGAACTTTGGGAGGCAGAGTTCAACTATCGCCTGAAATTGTCTCAAAAAATTAAGTGCTAAACCAAAAGAGGTCTTCGCACAAACAGAGCACAGTACCAGGGGAAACCATGCCAGTCTTTGACTTCACAGGCGTAACCAGGCACAGCCATCCCCAGACTCAGCAGCTGCTGGCTCCCATCTTACGTGACACCACCACTAGGCCAGGGAGGAGTAGGTGCCTCTGCTCCCAGATGGTTAAGTGGCATCAAGTAAAATGGAAAATGTGCTGGACTGGCCCTGAGTGGCCTGTGTAGGACACTGGCTCCAAGACAATGGACCTCGCTGGGCTCCCAGAGCCGGGTTACACTGATCAGTTCTGAGGGTGGACCCAACTCAGATCCTTTGAGATTTTAGGAACTCAGAAGCTGAGGACACTACTTTCTTTCTTTGAGGTGGTCCATAACTTGGGTGATTTGGAGGGTGGCAATGACGACAAATGCCATCAAGAGTAATTCCCTGCATTTGACCCTCCTTGAGTCCATTCACTTTCCCTGGGGCAGGAGGACAATGGTGGTGCTTATTGGTGTTGAGGACTCACTGGGGGCCAGCAGCCGGCCCAAGCCCTTCCCAAACACTGTCAGCTTTACTCCTCCCATTTACCTGGTGTGGCGACTGCTCCCACTTGACAGAGGAGAGTGAAGCTCTGAGAGGTCCAGTCTCAGGACTGTGGCTGGCGCGGCTGGGACTAGACCCTGGTCTGCCTGTCTCAGGGTCCCCAGCTTGGTTGAATGATGAGATGACTCATGGCCTCTCCATGTCAGCCACAGAAGTGGGTGTCAGTCAGTGCCACTTTCCAGAGAGCCCAAGGGGTCATAAAGTCCAACCAGCTGTCTCAACAAAGCTATTTCCAAATCCTCGGGGACAGGAAGGCTGTCCAGAGAGGCCCTGGCTGAATGGCCATTGAGTCTGAGTGCCTCTGAAAGGAGTATCAGGGTCTTGGTTCCTCTCGCCCCTGCCAGCAGCTTTGTCACACCAAGCAAATCAGCAGAACCGGGCCTGGAGCTTCCTGGTGGAGGGAAATGCTTTCCTCCAGTTGGGTCCTTTCCTTTCTGCAGCTCCAGCAGGGGCTCACTGCTCAGGGCAGCACCAGGCTATGGAGCCCTGACCATAGGTGCTGGCTTGTCCCCAGAGCACTGGATGAGGCTGAGGAGGAAGGCATCAGCTTGGTCCCTTCTTCCCCTTTGACACCTGATGCCCAGCCATGATGGCGCCTCAGCTGTTCCTCCATGACATGATGAAAAAGAGGCAGAAGAAGGAGGAGGCATCCTGATCGTGTGAGGAAAGGGAGGGAGGGAGTGTTATTTGTCCCAAGAGGATGTCAATGTTTGCAGGGCACAGGCACCCCACCCATCAGCCCCGGCTCCACTTACCCTGGGTAATGGAGGGCTGGTTCCAGGACCAATAGTTCTGCACTTCTGAAAGCATCCACCTGACTTTATTTCCGGCTGCTCTGTCTACCTCCAGAGACAGGCACAGGGTAGATGCTGGTAAATACCCCTCGAATCGAATCAGAACTTACTTGTCTTTGTGCCCACAACTTTTCTGCACCTCTGGACCTATCTTCTGGCATCCCTGATGTGGAGCAGCTGGGCGGTCCCAGGAATTCCCAGATCTTCTGAAAATGAAGGATTCCAGGAAAGCTGGCGGGCATCTCTGACGGAGGGGGCCGCTTGGCCAGAGGTGACCTCCGTTCAGCTGGCACAGGGTGTGACTTGGACATCACTCTTGCTTTATGGAAAAATAATCTACAAGTACCCTGGGCGGGTCCTGTGCAGGCTCTGCCTTGTGGGAGTGACTCTGCATTTCCAAAGAGACTTGGAAACATGGTTCCTCATGGTCTCCATTTATGAGAAGTGGCCATTTTTGTGAAGTAAGTTGTTTCAAAACAAGGGCAGCGAATGGAATGTGTGTCTGTGTGTGCATGTCTTCTCAAAAAGAACTGCATCTTCTCAACCCTGTGCTGACCTTCAGCTTCATGAGGAGGTTATTTGGAGCTTAGTATTAAGCTGAACTGAATATAGTAGAAATGATCTGAAACCAGCTGCTCAAACTGGTTACCTAACACATCCGTTCTCTTCTTTTTAATTTTACCAGAAAGCACTTTTGAAGTGCCTCATTTGGTCGCTTACAGGAAAGGCAGCATATGTACAGGAGCAGTTAGGGGTCCTGGGTTCCCGTCTGGGCTGAGCCTCTGTTTCTCATCTGTGAAATGAAGCTAACAATCCTTGCTCTGTCTGCCCCACAGGAAGTTTGTGACACTCAAGTGAGAAAATGCATATTGAGGTCCTCTGTCAAGTAACATGTGTTCCCATCAGTCACTTTATACACATTTACTGGGCACCTACTATGTGCAGAATTCAGTGTTAGATGCTGAAGGGAATATAAGCATTTGTCTCCATTACTGTCTCTGGGGCTGGACTTTATAAAATGTCATCTAAGCTACCATCTGCTTCCACATACCTGACCCCTCCGTAAAGACCCAGGCCCCATCCCCCTCTGGCTGGTGAAGCCACTAGTCTGTATGACATGGCTTTCCCTAGCCTGGGCTTATTCCAGAAAGGAGTTTGCTGAAGGCCTGTTATTCTTCTTTGTGCCTCTGCTAAGCTTTCCCAAGAACCGTTGCTTTCTGGACCGGGATATAGGACAGAGATTGAGGCCGCTCTTCCTCAGCTTGCGTCTGCACAACATCACCAAAGGTAAGAGGTAAGCCCTAGCCCAGGTGAGCACATCCACGGGAAAGCTGCTGGGCACCTGTCCACTCCTCAGCCACTGCTGGGGGAGCCCCACCTGATGTTTCCAAGGGAATCGGCTGAAACATGGCATTGCCACTTCCAATCTGAGTGACTTGGGGAAAGTCATATAGCTGCTGGGTCTCACTTTCTCTATCTGTAAAATGGGGATAATTGGAACTCTGATGAAATCTGATGATGGCTAGAAGGGGCTTGTATCTTGTGAAGCAGTGCACAGCTGCCAAGGGCTGTTTTATTGGCATTGAATTGATTGAATTGTATGTCCTACTTCTTCACACGGTTCACTTCTAGGCCCCTTGTTCTGCAGTTTGGGAGGAAACTCTGGATCTGTGCTCCCTCAACCTCATGCTCTGGGCACAGGGGATGGCACCTGTCACTTGGAAAGAGGAAAGACATATTGGGGAGCATGTTATCAGCAGTCCAGGGGGCCACCCATGAGATCTTTGCATCTGAAAGGACATCTGAGAACATTTTCAAAGCCGTTTCCAGCTATCCAGATATAATAAGTAGCTCCAGAACTCAGGAATGGTTGATGTTTTGTCCAAGTTGCTTCTAAACACTCTAGAAACACTGATGACCTGACCTCAGACCTCCTTTGCCAGGCAGGACTGCAGCCAGGGGGCTGCGAATGTTAGGGTGAGGAATGGTGGCAGGGAACACTGTTAACTTTCTCCCAGGGATTGAGGAAGGGAGATCTATGAAATAAAAACAAAATAAAATAGAAAAAAATATATGGAAATTTTAATCGGATCTGTGTGCAGCCTAAATAACTTCTTCCTTTTTGCTTTGTAATTTTTTGACAATATTGTGAAAACTGAAATATCTTTAAAAAATAAGGAGGACTGGTCAAAGCTGATCTTCAAGGGCCACTTATGGCTTTTCCTTTTACAAGGAAAACAAAAAAAATAGTTCTTTTTGTTTTTAACATCTTTTTTATTGCATTTTAGGTTTGGGGGTACATGTGAAGAACATGCAAAATAGTTGCATAGGTACACACGGCAGTGTGATTTGCTGCCTTCCTCCCCATCACCTATATCTGGCATTTCTCCCCATGCTCTCTCTCCCCAACTCCCCACCCCCCACTGTCCCTCCCCTGTTTCCCCCAAACAGACCCCAGTGTGTAGTGCTTCCCTCCCTGTGTCCATGTGTTCTCATTGTTCAACACCCGCCTATGAGTGAGAACATGCGGTGTTTAATTTTCTGTTCTTGTGTCAGTTTGCTGAGAATGTTGGTTTCCAGGTTCATCCATGTCCCTACAAAGGAGACGAACTCATCATTTTTGATGGCTGCATAATATTCCATGGTGTATATGTGCCACATTTCCCTGTCCAGTCTATCATCGATGGGCATTTGGGTTGGTTCCAGGTCTTTGCTATTGTAAACTGAACAATAATTCTTAAGGTATCTTCCAGAGTTCACTGGGCAGCAATATCTTCTTGCAAGATTGTTGAGAGTGTATTTCATTCAAAATTATATAAGTTACACTTAAAATAATTAATATGTAGTATAGATTTTAAAAAACTGAAGTTGAATTGGCCGTTGAATTTATTCATTTCTTTGGAAGTTTATTTGTATAAGTTGTTTTTTTTTTGTTTTTTTTTTGAGATGGAATCTCACTCTCCCCCAAGGCTGGAGTGCACTGGTGTAATCTTGGCTCGCTACAACCTCCGTCTCCTATCAAGTGATTCTCCTACCTCAGCCTCCTGAGTAGCCGGGATAATAGGTGCATGCCACCATGCCCAGCTGATTTTTGCATTTTTAGTAGTGACAGGGTTTCACCGTGTTGACCAGGCTGGTATTTGTATAAGATTTTTTTTGAAGAGAATTGATTTGAAATACAAAAGGAATTGACTCTGAACATAACCACAGTGACCCTGAGATGTTTTATTTCCACTTTGTCAATCAAATCTTAAAGGAGACCATCCACCCTTTTCTCTTCCCTCAGCTCCTGACTTCTTCCTTTTCCTTTCTGTAAATGGGATTTTTGAGGCTCTGGTGTGAATAAAATGAAAAAATGTTCCTTTTGTGTTTCTTCCAAGGCAAGGATCTGGAGGAGCTGCAGGACCTTAACTTCTTCCCAGAGTCGTGGCTGCACCGGGTTGCAGCCAACCATTACCACGCAGTGAGTTGCCTTCTCTGCAGGGAAACAGTTGTTGAAATGTATTGCCTCTCCTTGTTTTTTCTGGAGATGTGTTTCACATTTGAAACCTTTAGACCTTTGAGGTAAGGACATATCTGGATTGTCCTCCAGGGAAAGTAGGGAGAGCAGTGCCTGGGAAGGAGAGAAGGGAGAAGACCTAGACTTGGAATCTGGGTAATTCCAGCACCCGCCATATGCATTTTTGTTCTCGATACAGATTAACAAATGTTGGGACCAAATTACTCTTCCTCCAGCAATAAATGAGCATGTCTCTCATTTATTGTATGCTCAGCAACACAGAGCATTTAAATTTCAAATTGCTTTTGTTAATTGAGAAGGGAACGACAACATCTCATTTTTAAATGTGTATTTCCTTTATTACTGGTAGCTAGGAATGTTTATCGAGAAGGGAACGACGACATCTCATTTTTAAATGTGTGTTTCCTTTATTACTGGTAGCTAGGAATGTTTTTCCAGCAGCATTTCCCCTTTGTGAATTGTCCATGCAAACTGTTGTACTTCTTATGTGTTTTCAATCTTGCGTTTTAGAGATGAAGAAGGGCAGTGTGTGAGTTCTGAAGATGAATGAGTCACTAGTTAAAATTCAGTCCTGCTCCACAAATACCTATTGTAATGTGCAAACCGCAGTGCTCAGTACTGCCCACACCATAGATCTTGACTCCGTGGAAGGAGGTGCATTTCTGGGACATAACTCAGGACCGTGCTCTAACAGAGCAGCAAAGGAGTGACAGACAGGGGACAGTCTGTGCAGATGTCTCGGGAAGTCCCCACCTCCCTCTTGGTCCTCTGACCCTGCCCACCTCCTTCCTTTTGTTCACTGCTACCAATGCCATCCTCTCGAATTCCTCTCCCTCCCCTCCCCAGCCCTCACCTTGGAGCCTGCCATGAGGGGCCTTACTTGCTCTTGATTTTTGTGACCGTGGTCATCTCTGCCGTGTGTGTACATTTTATTTCCCAGGTGAGACTGCTCGGCTACTTTTCTGTTTTCTCCTTGCATCCTCTGAAAGCACTGGGCACAGGACTGATACAGTAGGGTTTCAATAAATGTCTGTGAACTGAATGAATGGCTGAATGTGCATCTAGAGGCAAAACTCTTTGACAAACGTGGTAAGGGGTACAGAGATCAAGGAAGAGACATGGAGATGAAGAGAGGCACTTATGTCTGGAGGATCCCACTGTGGTCAGCTGTGTGCATTTTCCTTTCAGATGGAGAATGGAGGTGACATGGCTCACCTGAAAGATCTTAACACCCAGGCTGTGAGATTTGGGCTGCTCTTTAACCAGGTATTTAGTGAGACCTGCACTCGAACAAGGGAAAGAACTGTCCCTTTCATGCTTAGTTAAGAACCCCTGGACGGTGGCTGTGATCACTTCTGACTCCTGGTAGAAAGGTCAGGGGACAGAAGAGGGAATCATGGGTGTCTCTCCTACATGCTCATCGGCTCCCTGAAATAAAATTCACAAGGCAGGGGCTTGGGACAGGCTGTTTAATAATTTCCCCCCTGAGGGGATCAGTGGTCCTGGTGGTACCGGGATGGAGCAGGACTGAATTTTAACTCGTGACTCATTCATCTTCAGAACTCACACACTGCCCTTCTTCATCTCTAAAACGCGAGACTGAAAACACATAAGAAGTACAACAGATCAATTCTAAAGCCATGAAAGACCAAGGCAAACTGGGAAGGGTTGGCCATCCTATTTCCCACAAACATCAGCAGTTGCAAACTGGCTCAGTGAGAGACTCCACACCAAGTCCATGTTTAAGGTTATAAGGGTGAACTCAGTCTGGGCAGCTATTTTGATGGATCTCAGAATAAAACTGCAGTGGGTCAAGGAACTTGATTGCAAGGCATCTTGACACTTAGTGAGCAGGGGAGGTCAGGGTTGCTGGCTGTGCTCCATGCTGGGTTCCTTGTGATGGATATAATTCTCCAAGAAATCACCAGTCTCCTTCGATTAGGCACCCCAGCAGTGATCTCAAAAGAATTCATAGTCTAAGAACTAGAGGCCTTGAATCTATCATCAGAGGGTCCCCTCTGAATCATCCCTGGATAAGCTGGCCCAGCCTTTTGGTTTCAGAGACGTAGTGCCTAAGTCGGCAGAGGTGGATCACAGAGCCAGGACTTTCTGCAAGTGCTGAGTGGCTCTTGGGCCCTTCAAATTGAAACCACATACTTTGTTTCAAAGGTCTATAGACTAAAGGTCATCTAAGAACATACCTAACCTCTTCTTTTCCTCACTAAGGAACATAAGGAGTAAATAATATTGCCACTGTTCAGTAGCTACTACTAAGTCTGCAACTAACTTCTACCAACTGTCCCAACTGTTAGTGACGAGAGCAAGGGGAGGAGGGTGTAAACATTCCAGAAACACTGATTACCGGATCTCAAACCTTTGCCAAGCAGGACGGCAGCCAGGGGACTGTGAACATTGGGGGTGAGGTGTGGTTTGGGGGAACACTGTAACTTTTGCAAACTTTATGGGTTCCCAGGGACCTGGGAAAGAAGATACAGGGAAAAGTATGGGCAAAAACATAAAAACAGAAGAAATTTTAAATCAGAGCTGTGTGCAGCCTAAATATCTTCTTCCTTTGTGCTTTGTAATTTTTTAAAATAATATTGTAAGAACTGAAATGTTTTTAAAGAATAAGGTGGATTAGTCAAAGCTGACCTTTGGGGCCACTGATGGCTTTTCCTTTAACAGTCGTTCTCAAGGTAGACTCCAGGGTTCACTGGGCAATGGAATCTTCTAGCACGATTGTTCAAAGTCTATTTCATTCAAAATAATATGTCACACTTAAAAGCATTCATATGTAGTATAGATTCCTTTTTAACTGAAGTCGAGTGGCCATCCAATTTGGGGTGAACTTATTCCAAGTTGGGAGTGGTAGTTGCCACTATCCAGGATTTCAGTCTGGCTTTTCCCGTTTCCTAGACTGGAATTGCCATTGCATTTTCACCTTCAGATCAGGTGCTGAATGAGTGATGTTTGTTGTTGTTGCTATTCTTTGTTTTACCATGTCCTCTTGACTGTTTTTGTTTGTTTGCTTTTGAGATAGAGTCTTGCTCTGTCGCCCAGGCTGGAGTGCACTGGTGCAATCTCGACTCACTGCAACCTCTGCCTCCTGGGTTCAAGCAATTTTCCTGCCTCAGCCTCCTGAGGAGTTGGGACTATAGGCACACACCACCATGCCCAGCTAATTTTTTTTTTTTGTATTCTTAGTAGACACAGGGTTTTGCCCCCATCTCTACTAAAATACATTGGCCAGGTTGGTCTCGAACTCCTGACCTCAGACGATTCACCTGCCTTGGCCTCCCAAAGTGCTGGGATTACAGGTGTGAGCAACTGCACCCAGCTGACTTTGAATACTAAATGTTTTCCCCTCTTCACTTTGTCGTTTTTCTTTCCCAATTTAGGAGTATACGACTTATTCAAAACTGATTGCTGTATATGGATTCTTCTTTGAAATAAAGGGACTCAAACATGATACTGCCTCTTACAGTTTTTACATGCAGGTAAGGGTAGAATGCATGAAAGTTATGTCTCTGAAACTGTCTTTTAGATTTAGAGTCAATCCATGTTGAATTAATAATAATTGATTCATCATTAATTACTAATCGATATGAACTGCATTGTAAGTGCTAACCACACTCATATATGTGCTGTCATTTGATTTTTATAACAACCTTGGGAAGTAGGTACTGGTAGCCCACTTAGCAGATGACGATCTGAAAACTGAGTAGCCTCTGTTGGTAAAGCCAGGATTAGATTCTAGTCTTCTATCTCCACATGTAGGGCTCAATTCATCTTCAGTTTATACATATAATTCAGTTATTCTCCCATGAAGATAACTGGTAGTGCCCCCAACTGGGAATAATTTTGTTTAGCTGCAAAGTGGACTATGGGCAGGACCCCATAAAATTCAGGAGGGTGCTTGCCTTCTCTGCAGTGCTCCTGCTGGACCTTAGGAGAGGCAGGAGATGCCATGTTTAGGAGTGAAGAGTCCACAGGCCAATGGCCTTCAAGCTGTAGGACCTGGGCAAGTGCCAGGAACCCTCCTACGTGCAGTTTCCCCACCTTTAAGACAGAGAAGGTAACAGAACATACCTCTCCAGGTTGCTGTGAGTTTCAATGTGTTCATCTGTGTAAAGGGTGGCTTGGAACAAGCTTGACACACAGAGCACCATATGCAGTAGGGAAGAAGAGGATGGTGATGTTGACGGTGGCAATGACAACTATGATGAAGGATCACTGTGTTCCACTTAAGATTTGCTTGTAAGTCTCTCTTCTCTAATCTGCACACTTTTGGGAGGCCACGTCTTATTAATCTTTTTATTACTGCTGTCAATCACAGTACCAGGAACACAGAGAAGCTGTATTTTTTCACTTTTCTTTATTTTTTAAGATGGAGTCTCACTCTGTCACCCAGGCTGGAGTGCAGTGGCACAGTCTCGGGTCACTGCAACCTCTGTATAAAGGAGCTTTAAATGACTGACTGACTGACTGAATGAATGAATGAATGAATGAATGGATAAATGAAGAAATGAATACATGAATGAAGAAACCAGAGTTTTAGTCCAGCTTTGCCAGTACCTCATATGTGCCCTGGAGCAAGTCATTTCTCTTCCTCAGCTCTTGGTCTCCACTGACTCAGGCGTCTCTACACAGTGAGTTCTTCTGATTGGAAGAGATGAATTATGTGACAATACCAGTCCAAACGCCCTTATGAGTATTATGTTGGTTTTTTAATTCTGGCAAAGCCGTCATAAAGCTTGACTTAATGGTGTTTTTCTAGATTTGCCAAAGTCCAGGCCATGAGCCAGTGGTTTATGTAGGGTGAGGGCTCAAATGAGAACTGACTCAGCAGCAGCCACTTTTAGGAGATGGTGCCAATTGGGAAATGCCCTCTTGCTGCCCTCACATATTATATACCAGGGTCTATGTGCCAGGCGCCGGCTTTCGTGAACTCTGGGCCACCCCGATTGCAGTTCCACCTGAGGTGGGTCACTCTCTTTGCAGAGAATAAGGCACACAGACCTGGAATCCCCTTCCGTGGTCTACAAGCACAAGCCTGTCAGCCTGCGAGCAGTGCGCCTGGTGAAGTATGAGATCAGAGCCCGGACCCTGGTTGACAGCAAGTGGCAGGAGTTCAGGACAGACGAGGTCTTGCAGAAGTTTGAGTTGGCCAAGCCATCCTGCAAAAGCCGTGCAAGTTTCCCTGTTGTCTTTTTCTTTTATTTCCTTTTTGCTCTTTCTCTCCCCCATCCTTTGGCGATCACCAGCTTCCAATCTGTAGTGCCCTACACTAGAGATCCCTGGAAAATCAGGCTCAGTTTCTTGAGGATTCTCACAGCTTCAAATAATGCTAAAGAGAAATCTCTTCTAGGATGAAAAACCAAGGAAACAGATAAATATAGCCCAAATCAGACTGCTTGGTTTGGGTCATACCAGATGTATTTTATAAGCATCAAAGGGTTTTTTTTGTTTTGTTGTTGTTGTTTGTTTGTTTGTTTTTTGAGATGAGGAGGCTCTGTGGAGTGTATTTGCCATCACTGCCTCCACTGATGCCTGTGAGTGACCCGTTAATTTCCCTGAAATCCACAGCCCAGACCCACCTGCCTCGGGCCCACTGGGGAAGGATGGGGCCCGTCTACTTCAGTAGGTGGTTGCCAGCAACCAGGCAGATCCACTGCCTTGCGTGGCTTATGACCAGAATAAGACTTTGCTACAGGCCAGTGAGTAATTCCCAGTCCTGACTGCACATCAGAATCACCTGAGCCCTTTATTGCTCCCAAGGCCAGAGCCCCACCCACATCACCAGAGCAGATACTCCATGGGTCGGACCTGAGTATCAGTATTTTTAAAAGCTTCCAGGTTATTCTCTATGATATTAGAAATCACAGTGACAGTTTCCTTTGTGGGGGCGAGGGAGAGGGGCTGGGAAATTAAGGGAGAACATTAAGAAGGAGATTTCTGTGGGGCTGGAAATACCTGTCTTGATCAGGGTGATGATTACACAGGAGTGTTTACTTTGTGAAAATCCATCAAGCTGTCCTCTTAAGATTTGTGCACGTGATTGTGTTTAAGTTATACCTCATTTATTGGCAGTTTATTTCAAATACCCTCCGCAGGCCATTCTGATGAGCAACCATAGTTGAGAACCAGCAGCTTCTACAACTGTCAGGCCTTCCTTTTTCTCCTTCTGGGGGACAATTGTGTTTATCTTAAAAGTCGCATTCACCTTGTTTTGTTTCACGTTTTAGATCTTGAAAATCCAAACTGTGGGCAGCCCAATCTATGCAACTTTTGCATTCATCTTCCCACCATCTTGACAGTTTCCAGAAGAATCTATGGGATTTCCCCCAACACTGATGTGCATAAAAGAAAATAAAATGGCGTAAAAAGGTACACTCAAGCATTCCGTGCCATTCCCAGCCAGTGATGGTCTCATTCGAACTTTTGTCCATGTTTGTATCATTTGAGGTCCAGACCTGAGAGTCCATTTACCAGCCCTGACCCACAGTACCCCTAGTCCAGCCCTGACGTTTTGGCTTCTCCCAGCACCATGGAAGGACCTGCAGTGGCAACAGACTCTAGCCGGGAGCACAGAGGACACCCTTAGATGCAGCTCTGCCTGCCACACAGAACTGCCTGCCCATTGTCCCTGGCAGTTTGGGCTCAGACAGAACAAGAAGTAGCGGGGAATTCCTCTAAGTGACTCTAAATTTATTATCCCACCTTTTCAACTGAAGCTCTGCAGTTTGGAAAGAGGGAAGTAGAGAGCCTTCCTTCCCACTTTATTCACTTTCTATTGCAGTGTTACAAAGTGCCACAAATTTAGTGACAAAACAACACATTGATTCCTTCAGTTTTCGTGGTTGAGGAATCCAGGCATAGCTTCACTGCCTCCTATATTCGGGGCCTCATAAGACTACAGTTTACTAGCAGGCAGGCTGTATTCTCATCTGAAGACATGGCCAGGGAGAATTCATGTCCAAGTGTATTCAGGTTGTTGGCAGATTCATTTTTCTGCAGCTGTATGACCAAGGGCCCCGCTGCTACTGGCATAGAGAGAAGGTTGCACAGGCCCGAGTGGCCCCCTGTAGTTCCCTGCCATGTGACTCTCTACAGACATTTCAAATCATGGCTATTTTGCTTCTTCAAGGCCAGCGGAAGAATCTCTCACTCTAGTCTGCTTACACAGCATCTTATATAATGTAAGGTGATAATCATAGGACTGGCAGCCCCTCCCCTCTGCCCTACTCTCTGGACTAGAAGTAAGTCACATGTTCCACCCACACCCAAGGGGAGAGAATTATACAAGGGTCACCGAGGGTGTGTCCACCACACTGTAGTACCCATTGTCTTTGGAAAAGTGATGGAGAGTCGATGACACCATACAGACAACAAGGTGGGTAAGTTTAGTTTAATTAATCCCCTTAGAGTCAGGCACAGACTTGGGGAGCCTCCTTCCCAGCAGTGGAACCCGACATCCTGTGCAGCGTGACCTGGCAGGGAGGTGCAAAGGAACTGGGTGTTGGGAGCCCGTTGACAGGTTCTCCCCACCCTTCCTCAAGCCCTGTTTCCCAGGTTGCTCACCAGTCAATGGGAGGCGGGGATGGGAGCTTGGAAGACAGAGAACAGGGGAAGCCTGGGTAGTTTGCACCCTCTGGGCTCAGGGGCATTTTCCAGCTGTAACTGTACCTCCTCCCTCCACTGCCCAGCTCATGCCCCATCTCATGCCTGGCAGCCTCCACAGTGGTTTCAGCATCTGTCTGGATGCTGGGTCCCTGTTTCTGGTTCTGAGACCACCTCATCCCTATGTCCCTCCAGGCTTTGGGGCAGTGGGGACTTCCTTCATCACCAATCTCTGGGTTGCCTCATTCCCTGTTTAGCTTCTTGAGTTTTACTTCATCTTGGAACCAGCTCTCTATATTATACTGATTCTGTGTGAAACCCCAGGTTAGTCCCTAATGTAAAGGGTTTTGGTCAGTTGGCAGATGTGTCTCAGTGGGGCAGATGGTTGGATAACACAGCCTCAGTGATTCTTTCCAGCCCTGCAGGGCAGGGACTAGGGTTTACTAGGGGGAGGCAGGTGAGGCACTGGCTCGGGCCTATAAGCCAAGGGGGTGCCAACACGCTTAGTAATACACATAAATAGTATTTAAATTCAATGTTTTAAAACAAAATCAACATACACACACACAAATCTATTATAGAGCTTGGTGAACGATGAACACACCCACATAACCAGCACCCAGATCAAAAACAAAAAGAACAAAACCAGCACCCCAGACACCCCCGGTAGACCCCCAAGGTGAAAACACGCCGACTTCCATCGCCACGAATCAGTTTGGCCTTTGAGTTCGAGTATCCTCACACAATCTGACAGTGCACACTCCTTTGTGCCTACATGCTTCTGTTCACTATCACATTTAAGAGATTCATCTAAGTTTTCACTGGGAGCTGTAGTTTATTTTCAAATAGCATGACAGTTTCACTCTTTTACTTTTTAAGAAACGAAGCGTTACTTCAATAAAATCATACATGTTGTCACCGAAAAGTGAGAAAATACAAAGAAGAAAATAAAACGGACTGGGACAGCCATCCCTGAGACGTTTGGTGGGTGACTTTCCAGGAGGAATTTTAGGTACATTTACAGTTTTCTTTCCATTTAAAATGGGGTTTGCAGTTTAGAGCCCCATTTTTCTCTTGAGAGTTAAACAGGATAAAAGGGTGTACTGGCTCACGCTTATAATCCCAACACTTTGGAATGCTGAGGTAGACGGATCTCGTGAGCCCAGGAGTTCGAGACCAGCCTGGGTAATATGCCGAAACCCCATCTCTACAAAAGATATCAAAATTAGCCGGGCGTGGTGGTGCACATTTGTAGTCCCAACTACTTGGGAGGCTGGGGTGGGAGGATCACTTGAGCCCAGGTGTTTGAGGCTGCAGTGAGCTGCAATTGTGTCACTGCACTCTTGCCTGGGCAATAGAACAAAACCCTGTCTCAAAAAAAAAAAAAAAATGTGGAGGGGGAGTGGGGGAAGGCGGGGAGGTTACACAGCCTAACAGGATGATTTCTTTAGTAGGGAGCACGGTATTTGGGGAGGAAGGAGAGGATATATTTGCTTCACCTTAAAATTGTGAGACATCAGAAAAGTCACTTGTCACTTACCTTCCATGACTATCACTTTCTTTTTTTTTTTTTTTTTTTGAGACGGAGTTTCGCTCTTGTTACCCAGGCTGGAGTGCAATGGCGCAATCTCGGCTCACTGCAACCTCCGCCCCCTGGGTTCAGGCAATTCTCCTGCCTCAGCCTCCTGAGTAGCTGGGATTACAGGCACGCGCCACTGTGGCCAGCTAATTTTTTTTTTGTAATTTTTAGTAGAGACGGGGTTTCACCATGTTGACCAGGATGGTCTCAATCCGTTGACCTCGTGATCCACCCGCCTCGGCCTCCCAAAGTGCTGGGATTACAGGCTTGAGCCGACTATCACTTTCTTATCTATAGAAAGGACATAAACCCACCCCTCTGCCCCCCTCTCAGGGCTGTGAGCCTGCAGGCAGCACTGGATGTAAGGTCCCTTTATGGACCAGCCCCTGTACGGATGCCTGGAAACTTGGTATTACTGGCTCAAGAAAAAAATGCAACCTTGTGGCATTTTACCACAGTTTATAGGATAACGGGGATGACAAGAACTAAAAACACTGACAAGTAAATCTGCAGACGTCTAAGAGAGGAGAGGCTGTTTGGAAGCACCTCTGAAACACAAACGATTGCCCACTCTCTAAGGGAAACAACTGTTAGGTATTTGAAATATGCAAACTCATACTCGAGGAGTTTGCAAGAGTGGGAGGGAAACTTGCAAAGCAGCGACACCAAAAATGTGTCTAAGGTGAGTGGTAAAGAAGAGCAGGGAATGCTAGGGTGGGGCTGGGGTGGGCAGGAGGAAGCCAGCCCCAAAAGGGCAAGGCAAGGACTGAAGGATTGGGCTGCCTCCCCATCTCTTGACCCAGCAACAGGAAGGTACTGGAGACAGTAGGACTTGGGGTGTCAGAGAGGGGCCCTGTGATGTCATTTCCACCTCCTAATTGTACAAGGGGGAAAATGAAGCCCCAGCAAGCTGGAGTGACGATTCTGGTGGGAAAATGCCTACAAAGCACTGTCTTGCTGAATCCTCCTGACCCCATGAGGTAGATGTATTTTCCACGTCTGATAAGAAGGAAGCTAAGACTGGGCAGGGTGGCTCATGCCTGTAATCCCTGTACTTTGGGAGGCCAAGGTGGGTGGATCACTTGAGGTCAGGAGTTCAAGACCAGCCTGGCCAACACGGTGAAACCCTGTCTCCACTAAAAATACAAAAATTAGCTGGGTGTGCTGACACATGCCTGTAATCCCAGCTACTTGGGAGGCTGAGGTGGGAGGATCACTTGAATCTCCCTGGAGGTTGCAGTGAGCCAAGATCATGCCACTGCACTCTAGCCTGGGTGACAGATCTAGACTCCATCTCAAAAAAAAAAAAGCCCAGATAAAGTAAATTTATTCATCCAAGACTCCTCAGAGTTTGGGAGTCCAACTCAGGCCTGGCCAAAGGCCCATCTGTTTCTATTTCCCCCCACCCCTTGATGGCCCACAAAGAAGAGGGGAAATGTTTTTAGGGTGTTTAATTCAGGTGTTTATTGAACATCTACTATCTGTTTGAAAGCAATGTGCACGGAGCATCTGCTGCATGCCAGGCCTCGCTGTGCAGGGTGTGCTCCATGTGATACCTCGTTCGATTGTGACGGGGACAAGGGTGGGAGAATGGCACATACCTGGGCCTGGAAGGGTTAGGATGGAGGGAAATGGTACACAGGTGTTGTGCCAGCCCCGTGGCTCCAGGACTGAATGTGCATCTGAATCACCTGCGATCTTGTGCATGTGCAGATCCTGAGCCGCGGTTGAGAGACGCTGATTTTGAAGTCTGAGAGACACTCTGAAATCTGCACTATCACAGGCTTTCCTGGGGGATCCTGATGCAGGGTGTTTGTGGGTCACACCCAGAAACTCTGATCTCTGTGTCAATTCCACAGCAGGGTTTCTTACTGAGCTCCACACACCCAGTTGTCTTCCTTACCCAGAGCCAAAACAAAATCCAGACAATAACAAAAAACGTGTGAATCGATTTCACCACACTGGCTGATTCAAAGCAAAGCTAAACAAATTTCCTAGAATATGAAACAAACAGAACTTAGAAATGAGACCCCCTCCTGTGAGTGAGCCATAATTCACAGTCCTCCCCTTTCCACTAGGGGGCGTGGTCCACCTCAAAAATGTTAGTGGCAAAAATTAGCAACCTAAAAACTCATTTTATAGCAGGGAGTCTCCTTGCTTCGTGGTTGAAAGTGAAACTACATCCTGGCTGAGGCTCTGTTTATCCAAACATCCAAACATCACAACATCGCTGAACGTGAGAAGTGTTAGTATTGAGATAAAATTCTTAAGATAATCTTACAAGCTTTCTTTCAAGAAAGAACTTCATAGACTCGAATTTTAAATTGCGAAGTCCCAAAGCCCAAAGCAGTGGCCATGAGCACTGGTTAATGAAACATTTTATGTGCCACGTCTGAAATGTCTCGTTCACTTCTGATGCTCACCTTCTGGCTAACCTCCCAGCCCCTCCCCTCCAACTGGGAAGATGGCCCTGGACTCATTAAGTGGACACCACATCTTTTGGGTTCTAGAGTACCACTGACCTGGGTTTGAATCTCAGCCCTGCCCCTTACCAGCTGTGTGGCCTTAGGCAAGCCATCTAACTTCTCTGAGCCTCAGACTGATCTGAGATACACAATCAAACTCATGGTAAAAATTAAATAAGTTGGTGTGATTTGTAAAGCACCTACCATATACCTGCTTTATACAATTTATTCCTTATTGTTTCTCCCTTATTGCTTGGAGTCAGGTAGTACTTGTTGAAGGTCAAAACGGTTACTGTGTGATCTTGAGCCAGTCCCTCTTCTTTCTCTGGGCCTACTTCCCTTTATGCAAAATGAAAAGGTTGACCCAGGTGCTCTCTGCAGTCTTTTCCGGCAGCAGTCATGGGATTCTCAAATTCTGTGAGTACGGAAGAACAGATATGAGTGGCTGAGCCTGTGAACCAGAAGGAGGAGGATCTGGGGAAAGGAAGTGTCTTATTTTCCCATGGGCTCCTCCCAATGGGGATGAATTGGAAAGAGTGGGAGAGGGTTTTCCTCTCCCCTCTTTAGAGGGTTTTGCATCCTGGAGACTGGTGTGTCTTGTAATACCAGGGAGGAGAAAGTTTGTTCTTGCCTTTGGAAGCCTAGGCTACCATTTGGGATTCACCAAGCTATTGGGGAGATGAGTGAGCTTCCCAGGGCTGACCTGGGTACAAGAAGTCCCAGGCCCTGCTTGCACACGGGGGATAGGCATAGGATGTGGGGAATTGGGCCCCTGGGCCCTGAGCCCTTGAGAGCTGAGGGGTGTAGAGGGAGCTTCTCCTGGAGGAGACAGAGACAGGAGAAACCTCTATGAGACAGACCCTGAGGGCAGCAGCAGCCAACAGAACTTTCTGCAATGATGGAAATGTCCCATATCTGCTCCATCTGATGTGGTAACCATTAGCCATGCATGGCCTTTGAGCACTTCAAATGTGGCTAGAGGAACTGAGAAATTGAGTTTTAAATTTTATTTCATTTTAATTTATTTAAATTTAAATTGCCATAAGTTTCATGTTGGAAATACATGCTCAGGGCTGCAAAGAAAAATTAGCACTGAGACAAAGGATCTTTCAGCAACACCATTTTTACTTCCTGGACTGCAGGTAGGGTATTCTTGCTAGCCATCTTGCCGCAAGAGTACAATGAACAAAGGAAAACACACACATTTATTCCTCATGCATTTGAGGTTGTCCTTACTGCTGTGTCTGATCTCTGTTGGCTGGAGCCAGACCTCACAATTTAAACTAAAACCCAATTGGCTAATACTTAAAACTTTTCTAAACAGGTAAAAGCAATGGAGAGCTGGGACATGCCTGTGAGCATGTCCAGAACAGATATCTTGGTTAAAGTACAAGGACATAGAATGTACTACGTGCTTGTGAGTGTGGCATGTCTAATAGCTACATTGGACAGGGCTTAACAAAGTTATTGGCACATTTATGATTTAACAAGAAAGGAAACTTTAAAAAGGAACTTTTCTACTTCCCACATTTAAGTAGAAGCAGCAAGGTAAAAACAGCAGCCACCATGAAACCAGAACCGGATGCTTCCTGGCTCTGCAGACTCTCTGGGGTTCCAAGCCTCCCAGTCTCTTCCCAGGCCCCCCACAAGTGGAGCCCCAGGGGCAGGGCGTGCCCATGCCTGAGGCCGCCTCAAAATTCTTTCTGGAGGAAGCTGTGCTGTGGAAACGGAAGGTTGCCATGCTGGGTAAGCAGAGCTCAGCTCTGCATTGATATTATTCTTATCTTCCTCCTTCTACTTGCACTAAACATTTAAATTTAAATAAGATGAAATAAAATTTAAAATTTCGTTCTCAGTCACTCTCGCCGTGTTTCTTTTCCTGTCTTTTAAACCACCACTTGGAGAGGAGTGCTAACTCATAGGCGGTGCTCCCAGAGTCGGCCAACCCCCGTCTCAGGTGCTCAGTGGACACAATGGCTAGTGGCTGTCCTGTGGGCAGGGCCGATGTGGGACAAAGGGCTCCTGTGGCTGCTCCTCCTGACTTTGAGCTTTGTAACTTTGAATGAGTCATGTGACCTTTGTGCTTTCATTCTTTGACTTCACTCACGCCACGGATTTACAGTGAGCTGCTGCAGGCCAGGCTTCGGGTGAGGCTGCGGAGGTGAACAAAACACACAGTCTCTGCCATCTCAGAGCCCACAGTGTGTGTGGGAAGACAGTCAACAGTGGAATATGCACTAAAGAGTGCCTGGGTGCCCTGAAGAGCACACAGTTGCCGGACAGCATGAAGCAAAGAGCTGACCTAGATCCTGGCGCAGGGGCAAGGCCGAAGGAGAGCCCTCCCAGGGGAAGCAATGCTGAAACAGACAGCTGAAGCCTAGGAGTGGGAATTAAAACAGGTTTAGGTGAGGATGCAGAGAAATGACTGCTCATATGCTGCTAGTGGGAGGGTGAAATGGTGTAGCCGCTTTGGAAAACTGGTGGTTCCTCAAACAATTAAATGTACAGTACCACGTGACCCCGCAATTCCTCAATTAACAGTACCACATGACCCAGCAATTCCTCAATTAACAGTATCACGTGACCCAGCATTCCTCAAACAAATGTACAGTACCACGTGACCCCACAATTCCTCAATTAACAGTACCACATGACCCAGCAATTCCTCAAACAATTAACAGTATCATGTGACCCAGCATTCCTCAAACAATTAAATGTACAGTACCACGTGACCCCACAATTCCTCAAATAATTAACAGTATCACGTGACCCAGCAATTCCTCAATTAAATGTACAGTACCACGTGACCCCGCAATTCTTACCTCTAGTTACATACCCAAGAGAAAATGAAAACATATGTCCACCCGGAAACGTGTACGCGGATGTTCATGGCAGCGTTATTCACAACAGGCAGAACAGTGGAAATTAGCCAGGAGAGGTGGCGTGCACCAAAAAGGGTGAGGCTCCTGGGGAAATGGAAAGGGGGTGGTGGTGTATGCCTGTAGTCCCAGCTGCTTGGGAGGCTGAGGTGGGAGGATCACCTGAGCCAAGGAGGTGGAGGCTGCAGTGACTCACATTGCACTACTGCACTGCAGCCTGGGTGACAGAATGAGAGGGCCTTTTTACAAAAAGAGAAAAAATACTGCTCACTTTGGCAGCATATGTACTACAATTGGGATGATACAGAGGTTAGCATGACCCCTGTGCAAGGATGACACACAAATTCGTGGAACGTTCCAAAATTTTATAAATTGTTTTAAATTAAAAAAAGTAAAAGAGAAAAAGGAAAAGTGAAAACAACCTAAATGTCCATTGGTGGATGTGTGGATAAACAAAGCATGGTCTATCCATGCAATGGAACAGTCCTCAGCCTTAAAAAGGAAGGTAGGGCTGGCATGGAAAAAGCCCGAACAGATTATGCTAAGAGACAGAAGGCAGTCGCAGAAAACCACATATCCTATAACTCCACTCATACAAAATGCCCAGAGGAGGAACATCTACAGACAGAAAGTAGATTTGTGGTTGCTTAGGACTGGGAAGATAAGAGGATGGTCACTAAAGGGCACAGGGTTTCCATTTCAGGGGATGAAAATGTTTTGAAATTGACTGATGATGATGGTTGCACAACTCTGTGAATATGCTGAAAACCATTACACTGTACACTTAAGTGGGCAAATTGTATGATACATTAGTTCTATCTCAATAAAATCGTGTTTTTTTTTTTAAAGAGAAATTGGGGGCTAAAAAAGATTCAAGCCCAGACATGTGCAAGTGAGACTGCTGCCTTTAAAAAACACAGAAAAAGGCCCCAGTGATCAGAGCCAGCAGACCCAGCCGCAGAGGCTGGAGATATGGGCAGGTGGGACATCTCTGGACCTTGGTCTTTTTCTCAAGAGCACCTAGTATTCAAGAATTTCAGGCCTGGGGCTGCCCTGATGAATCCTGGGCTTTGAAAAAGTTGTTCTAGATGCTATTTGTCAGCAGAGGTGAGGGGAACTTGGGCAAGAATGCCAGGTGTCAACATGGTGTGAGATGTGTTGCAGGTGAGCAACGACTATCTGGGCCAGTGGTGGAGGGATAAAAGAATTTACCAAGACACTTGTAGATAATGAAAGGCAGATTTGCTAAAGTATGAAACCATGTTGTGAGAAGGCAATGGGCAGGCCAGCAGAAGAGCTGACTGCAAGGAAACAAAGGCTGGCTGGAGATTTTATAGAATAATGCTTATGCTGATTGCCGAAGAGGGCTTTGTGCTGAAGAGGGCTTAATGCAAGGTTGCCGTGAGCTAACTTGCAGGTGTCTGGTGATAAGTTGAGTGCAGAAGGGCTACCTGTCCTGGACCATGAAGAAAGGCAGGTTTGTGGCTTACCTGCCTCTTCCTTTTGCTTTCCCCAGCTCCCACCAGACTGGCTCCTTTTCCCTAATTAGGACTCCACAAGGAGGACAAGCTGGGAAAGATACAGAGCTTAGCCCTTGCCCCGTCCCAGAGAGCAACTTCCCTGAATGATTCGTTAACTTGTCCTGGTCCTGAGTAACCACTGAGGGGTGTGACTGTGGCCCCTTGGGGCAGAAAGCTCCTTTGCTATCATGTATCACAAAGTGGTGGTACCAGTTTGTTTAAAGGCAAGCACTCCCAAAGGACACTGGCCAGTGGCAGTGTAAATGGGCACTGCCCTTCTGAGGTCAGTGTGGCGACATATTAGAAAAGAGCTTAGGATGTTAATTACTGTGTCAGATCATTATAATGATGGCCCCGGTGAACCACACCTCCCTGTGTCTACACCCTTGGCTTTGTGGTGCCACCCATCAACAGATGGAGTCTATTTCTACATCCTCTAAAGTCTGGGTTGGCCCTGAGGCTTGCTTTGGCCAATAGAGTGTGGCAGAAGTAACATGGTAGTATTCAGTAGTTTGGAGCTCCAGGTGCCTTGCAGCCTCTGCTCTGGCCTCTTGGAGCCCTGGGACCACGTAGTACAGGGGCCTCTACTAACCTACCGGAGAGTATGCCGCCAAGTGGAGGAGAACCTCAGCCCGACCACCAGCACCAATTGCTACACATTTGAGTAAGGCCATCTGGAACCTTGCAGCCCAGTCAACCCTCCTGTGGAATGCAGCCTTCTGAGGGACTCCAGAAGAAACTCTGCAAAGAATTTCTTCAGCCAACCCTCAGAATCCTAAGAGGTAATTACGTTTAGGAGTTTAGGAGTGGTTTATTACCCTGCAAGAGCTGACTGAACTACGTGCCCTTTTGATGCAGCGAACTTACTTTAGGAATTTATACTTATCAAATCAAAATCCAGAAAATAGGCCATGATTTAGGCACAAAGGCATTTCTTATGGCATTGTTCATAATCCAAAGCATCAGCGTGATTTTAGATGCCTAGCAGCAGGAGTTAAACACAACAGGGTAGATCTGTACACTAGACAATCATTAAAAAGTTGTTGTTGAAGCATCCTAGTGGCACAATTCCCGGGATATACTGTTAACTGGAAAAATAAAACCATTTTTTAAAGTATGTAAATATGATCCATTAAAATATGCAGATTCTAAATTTAATATAAAATTGATGGGTCCAAAAGCGTATGTAACTTCAATTTGATAGTATAAAATTGCTCTCTAATGTGGACGTGATAATTTATCTTCCTCCCAACATCGAGGAACCTTGCTGCTGATTTCTGTCCCTGTTGCTGGTGATGAAGGGCCCTTGACTGACACATTCAAGAGGCTGGTCAATCCTTACACAGAGCTGACGTGGGTTAAGGCAAAGGAAGCTTCAACCTTTACTTCACTTAGCAGGATTTCCTGGTTTCTAGGCCACAGAGAGACACCTTCTCACCCAACCAAAGAGGCCTGACTTGCTCCCAGACTCCTTTAAGGAGAGAGAAACTTTGGGTGCAGCATCGAGAATGATAAGCAGGAAGCCAGGCTTCTGAAAGTCAGATGGGACTGCAGCTGAAAACAGGGGGGTTGTCATTTGTCTGCCCCGAGCCACCAGAAAGGGTTCAGTGAGTCTTGAACACAGTGATTAAGTTCACTTTAATCTATGCCTCACTGCACAGCACAGCCAATTTCTTGGCTTCCCCAAGAAGTGACATGAGTCACTTGATATCTTATTGCGGCCTGAGCACGTTTTATTCCAAGCAGGTGCGACTGTTCCTGTTTGTGCCTTTGAGATACCCAGGAAATGAATAATGCTTGTTGTCTGCCTCCAACACCAACTAAATATTGGAGGAATGCCTTACTATTATAATAACACGTGAATATTGCTGTAAGACTCTTTTTTTTTTTCTGGTTCAGTGCCAGGGAGCTAAGAGTTCCCGTTCCTGCTGTTGGGTCACAGCTGAGGGTCCCTGGGATGTGGGGCATCTCCGTAAGTAACAGGAAGTATATTAACTCATGGGTTCGTTGAGAAAATCATTGAGGAAGCCACATGTGAGTGTGTGCTGTGCAAGCCACCATTCGACTACCATAGAGGCCAGGGAGAGGGAGGGAAAATTGGACCCAGCTGTGGCCTGCTTATCTTTTTTCTTACAATGTGGGTCACTCCTTGAACTAGGACGGTCTGCAGGTGTGCCCTTTTGCTCAAACAAACACTCAACTCTTAACCCTTGAAAGAAATCAGTAGGAACAAAGGCATGCTCGGGCATGTTGGAGACGCAGAAATTGTGGAGGGAAAAGCAGCAGGCCTTTTCACATGCTGGATGCCTGACCCTCTCTACTCTACTATACCGTCTGTTCAACTTAGTTAAGACCCCTTAAATCTAGATTCCACCCCCTCCTTCCTTACCACTCTCTGGCTGGGTGACTTTTGGCAAATTGTCTATCCTTTCTGAGCCTCAATTTCTCATCCTCACAGAACCATTGTGAACACAAAATGAGGGGCTGAATGGGGACATGTGATAGGTGGAATAATGGCCCCAAAGATATCCATACCCCAATCCCCAGAACCTGTGAAAGTTAGCTTGTGTGACAAATGGAGCTCTGCAAACGTGGTGGAGTTAAGGATTTTGAGATGGGAAGATTATCCTAGATTATCCAGGTGGGCCACATATACTCAAGGGGTCTTTATAAGAGGAGGGCAGGTGCTCAGAGAGGCAGAAGGCAATGAAGCTACCAAAGCAGAGATGGGAGTGATGTGGCCACAGCTGGGGAAGGCAAGCAGGCCCTAGAGGAGCAGGCTCTGCTTTAGAGTCTTCAGAAGGCACCTGCCCTGCTGACATCCTTGACTTTAGCCCAGTGAAACTGATTTTGGACTTCTGGCTCCCAGAACTGTCAGAGAATAAATGGGTGATGTTTGAAGCCATCAGGTTTGTGTTTTGTTACAGCAGCTGCAGGAAACGAATGCAGGCTGATTTGTAAAATCCTCCCGTGAAAATGGAAGAGTCTCTTGTAATGTAGCCAGAGCCAGGTGAGGCCAAAAGGGGTTGCTGTACCTGATAAGCTGGCAATGTGTCAGCCTGCAGGTGTCTATTTGCATGAGCTTATTTGCAGGGTGCTGCCTGTGAGGCTGGACTATGCCTGCTGCCTGACCCTGCTTGTCACCCAGATACGATCCCGTCAAGTGAGGAGAGACTCCATGGACAGAGGTGAAGGAACTGTTTTCCAAAGGATTCTGACAGCTTGTGGGTACAAGCTGTGCTGCTTTGGGGCCCAGATGACAGGTGAGATGTGGAAGTGGGCAGGGACATTTATTCCATTTCTGTTGCACACTTTACAGCATGGCTACAGCCTGGTAGACCCCACCCAATGTATTTTGACACCCTGAAGGCTACATACATCTCTCTTTTTTTCTTTTTGAAAGAAAGAAAGAGAAAGCAGGGGAGAGAACAGGAGTCTTGCTCTATTGCCCAGGCTGGAATGCAATCTAAAAATAGGTATTAAAAACCTCTTTTGTGCCAATAATTGTGCTTATCAGCGGAGACAGGAAGGGATAAGGGAAGAAAATAACAAACAGCCAACCAATATTTCATTTAAGTCTGTGAAATGCTATGCAAATGCTGAAGAATGATTTACTTCCAATTATGTGGTCACTTTCAAAATAGGTGTAATGTGATACTGAGAAAAATGTATGTTCTGTGGACCTGGGGTGAAGAATTCTATAGGTATTCACTGAATTTACTTGTTGCAGGTCTGAGATCAAATCATAAATGTCCCTGTTAATTTTCTATCTCGTTGATCCGTCGAATATTAACAATGTGGTGTCAAAGTCTCGCGCTGTTATTGTGCGGGAGTCCAAGAATCTTTA